AGAGGCCACAACAGTGAGAGGCCCGCGTACCACAAAAAAAAAAAAAAGAAAAAAAAAAACTTAAAAAAATAATAGTAATAATTGTTGGTTCCCAGAGTTCAGAAGCAGGGGGAAGTCATTGACTTTCAGTTTGTTCAGGTTTTTTTCTTCCTTGTTGTAAGGATGGGAGCAATGACTTCCAAGCTCCTTAAATGTCAGAGCTGAAACCAGAAATCCTGAATTTTTTAATCAGTATGAAAACTTTAATTTCCAAAAGAGTCATATATTTCACATCATTACCATTCACTTACTTGCATAATCATCAGTGCTGGATGTTATGTCTTTGTAATTTCCCAGCTGGCTCTGCAGCTATTTCTGTTCTTGTTACTAAGTGCTAGCCAGTAAAATGTGAAGGAAAGTAATGTCTCCAACTTTAGATACCTGTCCTTAGAGTAAACTGATGTGCCTCTCTTCTCCCTTTTCCACTTGGTTCCTTGGAATGTGAATATGACAGTGTGCCATCTTGGGCTGTGTGAATAAGGTCACCACCCTAGGAGTGTTGGAAAACAAGAAAGAGAAGTCGTACCAGTTCTGTACTTCTGTACTTCTGTACAGAACTGTACCAGTTCTGTAACTTCAGACTACTGAAGTAAGGATAAAAAAAATCAGTTTTTAATTTTATTTTAAGGCACTGTTATTTGAGGTCTCTTACATTCTAAATCTGTATCTCAAAACATTAGCTTTAACAATAAAGGGACCTAAAATACTTTAAATCAAACCCACACCAATCCTGTGAATTATATGCCAGTGTTTTCCAGTAATTTCACTGTCGTTTTTAATGCCATAAGTCAATTCTGCTATTCTGTTCCACTGTCAATATTTGTTCTATTTATTCACATTTTAACATTTTCTTTGCCCACTATTCTTGTTTCTCAAATCCTCTATCAGGGACCACTTATATATTTAAATAGCATGCCAACACCTCTCCTCAGTTCCCCTCCCTTCACAACTTTTTAGTCCATTAACAAAGAGTTTTTGAAGAAACCAGGGCAGATGTCAAAACAGCAGTTCTTAAAGAGTGGTTGGAGAATCCCTAGGGGTCCCTTAGGTCAAAATATTTCCATAGTAATTCCAAGACTTTATTTTCCTTTTTCACTTTCATTCTCTCATGAGTGTAGAGTCTCCCAGTCTATATAACATGTGACATTGCTACAGAATGAATGCAGATAGGAGAAACCAGCTGTTTTCCATTAAATTATTAAAGGTATCTAAAAAATTATATAATGATGCCACTCTCATTATTTTTGTTTTGGAAAATAATTACTATTCATAAAATGTTATCATGTTAACATGTGATGAGTTTATTCATTTTTAAATGAATTCAAAATTTTTATTTCAGTTTGAGTCTTGCTGTTGTAAAATGTCTGCCTGTCTTAAGTCAGGTTGCCTGGGAAACAGAATCTGAGAGGAAGCAGATTGGGTGGAAGGTTAAGTTGATCTGTGATAGGGTTGCAATCTGTTGGGGAGCTCTAGGACTGGATTGACTCTTTGAACTTCCTCTAAATTGCCCTTGGGGAGGCAGTGTTAACCGTGCACGACCCAGCTCTCTTTGTGCAAGAGCAACTCCTATAGAGGAATTTAGCTGTGAGTTGTCAGCAGTCAAGATCCTCAGCAGCTGGCAGTACAATGAGGGGGGGATCTTGACAAGTCTAAGGCATAACTTACATTCTAGAGTTTCCTTAGTGATTGGGCTGAAACGACCCATGGCAGGACTACAGCTGAGATCACACCCTTAACTTCCACTTTACTGTCCTGCTTCTTCATGCCCTTACCATTCTTACTGGGAGAACTTCCTTAATAAACCACTTGCATAGGAATCCTCATCTTAAGGTCTGCTTCTGGCAGATACAAGGTAAAAGAATGTCCACAATAGAACTCGATTCCATCCTCCAATCTTTACCCCAAAGTGCTTCTCCCTAGTCTGCTGCATTTTTAGCAAATGGTGACAATCCAGCTGTTGCTCTCCACAAAAATGTAAGAGCTATCCTTTATCTCTCTTTTCCTCATCTTTCATATCAGCAAACTTCAAATCAAGTCTGAAACCTAGAATGGAAATTCTCCAGGCAGCAGTTCACATGCGTCCAAGTGGAGAGGGATTTATCATAATTTGATTAATGATTTTTTTTCAGATGTTATCTCAGTCACTTAGACCTTATTTCTATTCCTTAGGACAGGGAAAAACTTAGAGACCAGATCACTTTCTTGTTGACATATAGTCAGAAGAACAGCCTTCCTAGACTTGAGATTCAGGTTTACTCTCAGGCACTTTATCTCACCCAATAAGCACAGCCACTCTTAGTGGGAGAGGCTAAAAGAGGCCCCTAAGGTAGTCCTTATGGACTGCAGGTGAAATTTTAAAATTTTCTGTTGACTCCAAAGCTATGTAAAGGGGCAGAAGATTTAAATGAGATATGAGCCAAATAAATAAACATGAAGAATTGGGAATTCCCTGGCAGTCCAGTGGTTAGGACTCTGTGCTTTCACTGCCGGGGAACTAAGATCTCGCAAGCCGCATGATGCAGCAAAAAACGAACAAACAAAAATGAAAATAAAAAACATGAAGGAGAAAATCAGGAGACTTCCCTGGTGGCACAGTGGTTAAGAATGCACCTGCCAATGCAGGGGACACAGGTTGAAGCCCAGGTCCGGGAAGATCCCACATGCTGTGGAGCAACTAATCCTGTGTGCCACAACTACTGAGCCTGTACTCTAGAGCCTGCGAGCCACAACTACTGAGGCCATGTGCCACAACTACTGAAGCCCGTGCGCCTAGAGCCCGTGCTCTGCAGCAAGAGAACCACTGCAATAAGAAGCCTGTGCACTGCAATGAAGAGTAGCCCATGCTTGCCCTAACTAGAGAAAGTTGGCACGCAGCAACAAAGACCCAACGCAGCCAAAAGTAAAAATTAATTAATTAATTAATTTTAAAAAGAAGAAAATCAGAGTGAAAAATGACAGTTTAGACCAAAAAAAAAAGTTTTGCAACTAAAAATATACAGATCTTGTTATGTATATAACACATGAACTTTGAAAACTATTTTTTAAAAAAAAGAAGTCTACAAAAAAGTGTGCTGGCAAAATTGGACTTAGCACAAAATCTATGAAAGAAGAGATTATTAAATTACGACACTCATTTAGACACTTAAGTTTTGGTAAATGGATTTCATAAAAATCAGCACCTGCTATTTACAATTATAAGTCACTGTCAGTCTTCAGAAATAGCTAATAAAAGTAAAATTCACATTACTCATGCTTGTACTTCATAAATTTAGTTTGAGAAAGATTTAGTTTTGTGAAATCAGCTTTAAGATAAATGTGGCTGACATTCAAACATTCAAAGCTAAAGATTCCTTTTGAACGACATCGCCAATCCTAATCATGTTTTTAAAAAGGCACTAATGGTTTTCTGCATTGTCAAGTAATATTGTAGAGGTGGTATAATTAAAAAAAAAAAATTACCTGAAGGGGTGATTCATGTATTGTTACAGAGAATGAGATCCTTTGAGCGAAACTCTTATTACTGCTCAGGGTCTTAGACCACCACTGCTTCCAACCAAAACTAGATAGGTACATAAAACAAGGGTTGTAGAAGAGTGAAGCAATTTTACATAATTGCTTATGGCCACCTCAAGAAAATAAAAGTCTTTCTTGGGACTGGTGGTCCAGTGGTTAAGAATCTGCCTTCCAATGCAGGGGACGTGGGTTCGGTTCAATCCCTGGTCGGGGAACTAAGATCCCACAAGGCGCGCACTGCAACTACTAAGCATGCACTCTAGAGCCTGTGTGCCACAACTAGAGACCCCACGTGCCACAACTAGAGAGCCCATGTGCTCTGGAGCCTGCTCACTGCAACAAAAGATCCCACATGCCTCAATGAAGATCCTGTGTGTTGCAACTAAGACCCGATGCAGCCAAGTAAATAAATAAATAAATATTTAAAAATGGCCTATAAAAGGCTTTCTTGTTTCAAAATATTGTAATAATTAACAATGATATTAATGCCTATGCTGGTTGTATGGAAACTTACAGTGCAAGACTAATATTGTAGAGTTAATTTCTCAGGAAAATCTTTTTTTCTCCACAATAACTCTAAGCATATTACTAACTTATTAGCTATGAATCCAACAAGTCAGTTGCCAAATAATGCAAGACACATTGAGAGAGTAGGGATCATTAGACCTTGATGATGCCCTAAAATAGTAAAGAACCACATCTTGCACACCTAGAACAAACAAAACATTGTAATCAGATTTGGCTGTGATAAAAAATTAAATTAAAAAACGAACAAGAAGTAATGAGACATAATCTTAAGGGGCTTTTCCTGGCACTTTCCATCCTAATTTACAACTTACAGCACAACTTCCATTATGGCTCTGTTGCCCTAGTAACCAGATTTGGTAAGGAGAAATGCTGCCGCCTTCTGGCCGTTTCACACAACAGCAGCTTTAAACCCAGCGCTAATGGTCACTTAATATTCAAAATAATTGCAGGCCTGTAAATGACACCTGCCATCAAAAAAAATCCTGGGGTCGTAAATCGACCAGAAAATTCAAAAGACGTCAGCAAGACACATTAAGAGAGTAGGTATCATTAGACCTTGATGATGCCCTAAAATAGTAAATAAAATCACATTTGATTTGTCACACTGCTCTCTGATTTTCAAATTTTTAATAAATAATTATATACTTCCTTGAATCTAAGATATACTTGGTTGAAAACTGAGTTCTAAATTCAGAGTGTGAAAATGTGGGGGAAAAAAGCGTCATGGGATTGATAAAACATGTTAACTTCATTTTATATAGTAAACAGAACTATCACTTTTAATTACTACTTTTCTGGAAATAGTTTTCAAAAAATAGTTCAGCACCTGACAGGGCATATGAATCCATTGTAACATTTTATTCTCTGGGTATAGGCTTCCCCTAGAATAGGCTTCCCCATAAATCCTGAGAAATAAGTACAAAAACACTATTAAGATAAGACATCCATATCACCATTGTGTATCATTAACTTTTAAGATTTATTTTATATGCTACTCATCTTTTTTTAAGGCATAAAAATTACAAGTAAAGCTAAAAGCCCCCTTTGACCAACACCCTCAATCCTAATCTCCTGCCAGAGACAACACTATCAATAATTTGGTATGTGTCCTTTTTAATCCATTTAAAATAGTTTTACATACATATTTCAATAATAAAAACAATTCTATTCTTTGTGAATGATTTCACTCCAATTTACATGAATGTTATTATATGGTATGTTTCATCTGGATCTTGATTTTTTTTTTTCACTCAACATTATTTTAGATAACAACCATGTTACACAATACAGACCAAGCTCATTTCTTTTAACTGCTGTATACCATTCCATTATTTGAATATGTCACATTTTATTAATCCATTATCCCTTCAATATATATGTTGTTTTCAATTCAGATATATATATATATATTTTATTCATATTTATGAATTTCTTTAGGATGGATATCCAGAAGTGGAATGGCAGGGTCCTTTTAAAAAATATTTCCCTGCTTCAAAGTCATAGACAATATCCTGTTATTTCCTTTCAAGAAGTTCAGAGTTTGGCTTTTCACATTTCAGTGTTCAAATCCTTTGGAATTCTTTTTCTTTATATGTTGTAAGGTTGTATGTAATTTTATTTTCCCCAATATGGAGATTCAAATACTCCCAACTGTATTTATTGACTAGGCCGTCATTCTTCTACTGATTCACGATGTCATGTCTAATATATATATATATAAGTTTGCATATATTCATTCATTTACTTCTAGGCATTCTATTCTGTAAATCCTTTTTACTTATCCATTAATGTTCTAATACCACACACTATTATATGACCATAACTTCATAATACGTGTAGTATATGGTAGAAGGTGTGTCCTCTCTGTTCTTATTCAATATTGTCTCAGCAATCCATAGACTTTTATTTCATATGGATTTTAGAATCATTTGGTAAAGACCCTAGAAAATTCTTGTTAGATGTTTGGAACTATGTTAGGTCCATAGATTAATTTGGGGAGAAAAGACATTTTATGATATTGGGTTTTTCCATCTACATCCATCGTATTTCTCTCCATTTACTCAAGTCTTTTGCCCTTCAACAAAGCTTTACAATTTTTTCATAAAGACCTTTTTCATTTTTTGAGACTATGCCAAGATATTTTAAAGTTAAGTAAAGCATGGATTGAATTTAAGAGAAGGCCTTTATTCATTTAGTACACTCGGCGTTTCTCACCTGTATGACCTCTCTTATGTATAGAAAGGGATGCTCTTTGAGAGAATGCTTTCCCGCATTCATTACATTCAAAAGGTTTCTCACCGGTGTGAATTCTCATATGTATTATAAGTAATGAGCATTGAGAGAAGGCTTTTCCACATTTATTACATTCATACGGTTTCTCCCCTGTATGACTTCTAACGTGAAGAGTAAGGGATGAGATTCGAGAGAAGGCTTTGCCGCATTCATTACATTTAAATGGTTTCTCTCCAGTATGAATTTTTTCATGTTCAAGGAGATTTTGTCTCTGACTGAAAGCTTTTCCACATTGATTACAATGATAGGGTTTCTCTCCAGTATGAATTTTCTCATGTTCAGTGAGATTTGATTTCTGACTAAAGGCTTTCCCACATACTGTACATGCATAGGGTTTTTCACCAGTATGAATTCTCTGGTGTCGGATGAGGTTTGACATCTGAATAAAAGCTTTCCCACATTCATTACATTCATAAGGTTTCTCTCCAGTATGAATTTTTTGATGTGTAATGAGATTTTCTTTCCGGCTGAAGGCTTTTCCACATTCATTACATTCATAGGGTTTCTCAGCTGTATGATTTCTCATATGTACAGTAAGGGATGAGCTTTGAGAGAAGGCTTTCCCACATTCACTGCATACATAGGGTTTCTCCCCTGTATGACTTCTCATATGTATAATAAATACTGAGCATTGAGAGAAGGCTTTGCCACATTTATTACATTTATAGGGTTTCTCCCCTGTGTGACTTCTCATATGCAGATTAACAGATGACATTCGAGAAAAAGCTCTACCACATTCATTACATGCATAAGGTTTCTCGCCAGTATGAATTTTCTCATGCTCAATAAGATTTTGCTTCTGGCTAAAGGCTTTTCCACATTCCTTACATTCATAGGGTTTTTCTCCAGTATGAATTCTCTCATGTTCAATGAGATTTGATTTCTGACTGAAGGCCTTCCAACAATCCTTACATGCATAAGGTTTTTCTCCGGTATGAATTCTCTGGTGTCTAATAAGGTTTGACATTTGAATGAAAGCTTTTCCACATTCATTACACTTATATGGTTTTTCCCCAGTATGAATTTTTTGATGTGTAATAAGATTTTCCTTCCTACTGAAAGCTTTTCCACATTCCTTACATTCATACAGTTTCTCTCCAGCATGAATTCTCTCATGTCTGATGAGGTCAAATTTATGATTAAAGTCTTGTCCACACTGATTACACTTAAAGGGGGATACAACATGTGATGAGCAATGGTAAAATGGTTTCCCATACTTATTACACTCATAATTTTTCTCTCTTATACAGCCTTTCTCATAACTAAGTAAGTCTAAATTATGTTTAAAACCCTTATCAAATGAGTCATATTCATAGAAGTTTTGTCTTGAAGTAACAATGTCTGAGCCCAGAGGAAATACTTTTGCAACTTTTTTACATTCAATGACATTTTCCTTAATTAGAGTTTTCTTGGAGATGGATGTGACTTTCCTCACAAGTGTTTCCTGCTGCTCCTTGATCTGTTCATCATCTTCCCAAACTTCTAAAATGGAGGACCAAAAATTATAACTTTTGAATTTTTCTCCTACTGCATTATTGATAACATTTCAGAAATTTGTCAAAGTGGGGTTGATCTTTGATATTGGCTCTAGTCTCCCAATATGAAAGAAATCCAAAGTGCAAATGTCCCTAGTTTCTAAGATTTGAGAAGTTAACTCCTATAGATAATATTATGGAGAGAAAACTGCCATTAATAGGCCCAAGCTGCTCTGATTGATTTAAAAAACATACAATGCAGATACCAGTAAAATGAATAGAATAATTAAGATGAAAGGGCAAACACATAAATGACTGGATAGCAAGTCAAATGACTAGAGGATAAAATTAACACTTGTGGTTAAACAAAACAGATCGAATGTATATGTTTATTTCTCCGACTTCTTAAAATTCCATTGAAATGACAGTAAAAAATAAAGATTTAAACCCATAAGAACAAAGGAAATAGGAGTAAAAATAAGGGTAAACGAGGCATTTCAACAAAATACTGGAAGGCAAAAGGGTAAGAAAACTGTCAACTGATAGCTTAGCTAAGAAATTCAAGTTTTGAGCTATGAAGATGCAAACGTCCAACAACAAAGTGATTTGACAACAAAACACTAGAAAAGCTCAAAAATTGGAGGATTTAGATACTTAAAAGGCAGGGATAAGAGTGGGGCTTTAAAAACAGAGGATTAATTTAAAGCCTGGAGTTATATACTGATTTGAAGGCATGAATACATCTATATCATGAAGGTACATAAAGGAAAAAGGAGTCTATATGTAATTTAGAACTATTTTGGATAATGCTCAGTAAGGGCTGGAGAAAAGGAGTCATGTAAAACACAGTTCATAAAGGAATAAGAAAAAATAAACAGGAACTGAGGAGAAATCAGAATCCTTTAGAGAAAAGAAGACATTTCCAGGAAGGGTGATCCACAGGATCAAATATAGAAGAGGAATTCCTGTTTCAATATGGTGGAATTAAACACCTCTGTGTCCTCTCCTCTCTGCAAACATGAAGAAGAAACAAAAAAGAAAATATATCCTCAATAAAACTAAAAGACAGCTAAACTCCAATTCCAGAGTATAAGGAAAGACCAGAGGGTACACTGAACCAGGTAGGGAAGAAACCCAGACACTGGCTGTTCTTTCTTATCTTAGGCAGAAAGCATGGTGAACAGAGTTCTCCAAAACAGATGGAACACCCTGTGGACAGAATGAATGAGTCATTTTTTACAACAGTGGAATCCAGATGTGTTAAGACTGCATGGTGGCAGGAACATAATGGTCTTCTTCTGGCCCTGCCAAATGGTAGGGAAGGCAGAGCTATACAAGGAGATGCAAATAGCCATTATTCTTGTATAAGCAGGATGCTGGCATAGGAGGGTAGAAGAGATACTGAGTGCTAGAGGAAGCATGCAATTAATAATCTCTGATTCAGAAGAAGTAAAGGGCAAACCAACTCTTAACACCAAAACTTGTATGACAGAGGAAGTCAACAGAGCAACAGAGGCTTCCTACTAGCTCAAGAGTATTTTTCTAGACAATCTCCAGCACTCTCCTTCTGTAAATAGTGGGTCCAGCAGGAAATAACCTTATTCAAAGATGAGGAATGGGGCTTCCCTGGTGGCGCAGTGGTTGAGAGTCTGCCTGCCGATGCAGGGTACATGGGTTCGTGCCCCAGTCTGGGAAGATCCCACATGCCGCGGAGCGGCTGGGCCCATGAGCCATGGCCGCTGAGCCTGCGCATCTGGAGCCTGTGCTCCGCAATGGGAGAGGCCACAACAGCGAGAGGACCGCGTACCACAAAAAAAAAAAAAAAAAAAAAAAAAGATGAGGAATGTAGTTATAAAAGGAACCAGTATTTAGATCTATACCACACTACAAGAATCAAAAAACATGAATATACAAGCTTACAGGAAAAACTGATACTGACTGATCAATAAGCCTCATAAAGTTCTAAAGCTTTCAAGAAAAACAAACCTATGGGCATCTAGGCAAATAAATCAAGTCACCTATGAGGGAAAACAATCAGGCTTCAGATTTCTCTAAGCAACAATTCAAAGCCAAGAGGCAGCAGAGGACTATCTAAAGTCTTCAGGGAACTGTCTACAAAACCTCTAGGAAAGACAGTATGGCTCAAGAATTGTATACACAGCCAACTATCAACTAAATATAAAGGTTTTTAAAAAAAGATATTTGCTTGTTTGCAAAACCTCAGGGACTCCAGTTCCCACTAAATTATAAGCTCCATGAGCCCATGCCCAGAATAGTATTTTATCTATATTGTTATGACTATAAATGTGGTTTCCTTTTCCTTATATCTTCTACTCGGTTGTTGAAGTATACATGAAAACTACTGATTTTTATTTGTTAATTTGATACCCTACCATATCACTGGATTCTCTTACTATTTGTTGCAGTTGATTCTCTTGTGTTTTAAGGGATATAATCTTATCATCTATAAATAAAGATAGTTTTACAGGGCCCTTTCCAATTCTTCTAGTACTGATTTTTTTCTCTTGTCTGTTACTTAGGTATAAACTTAGTAAGAAATTTACAAAAGGTATAAAGGAAACCTTGGAAAGCATTTCTGAAGGACATAAAAATAGATCTGAACAAAGACAGAGAACACGTTCTTGGATAGAAAACCTCGACGTTATAAAGATGTCAGCACTCCGAAAGTTAATTTATGCTTCTAACACATTCCCACCAAAAAATCCAACACGTTTTTCTCTGGAAAGAGTAGTTGAATGTAAAATTCTTATGGTGAAATAAACAATCAAGAATAGACAGCACAGGGCCTCTGTGGTGGCACAGTGGTTAAGAATCCGCCTGCCGATGCAGGGGACACTGGTTCGAGTCCTGGTCTGGGAAAATCCCACATGCTGCAGAGCAACTAAGCCCATGCGCCACAACTACTGAGCCTGTGCTCTAGAGCCCACGAGCCACAACTACTGAGACTGTGTGCCACGACCACTGAAGCCCATGCACCTAGAGCCCGTGCTCTGCAACAAGAAGCAACCGCAATGAGAAGCCCGTGCACCATAATGAAGAGTAGCCCCTGCTCGCTGCAACTAGAGAAAGCCCACGTGCAGCAACAAAGACCCAATGCAGACACAAATAAGTAAATAAAATTAACAAAACAAAAAAAAGAATAGCCAGCACAACTCTAAAAAAAAAGTGTACTCAACTGGGAAAAGAAAGGGACTGAGTGTCAAGGGTAAGAGACACTCACTTTTCAATGTTATCTTTTGGACTGTTTATATTTTTTAACTAAGTGTGCATACATTATATTTCAAAAAAATTAAAGGAATGAAAGTGTAAATAAGCAGGAAGGAGGTAACAGTTTGTAAGCCAGAAACTTTTAAACCTATGCGGGATTGTGAGAGTTGTGAAGTACAATGGAAAGTGTGAGTATTGTTACAAAACAAATCTGAGGCTTTTCAAAATAGAAAGAAAAGGAATCTAACTCTGAAACAAATGTGTTTTTAAAATACTATACATCCACCAAATACTGAATGCATAAGAAAAAACCCTATGAACACAAAGCAAAGAGAGAGCTTAAGGATCATAGAGAGGGACACTAATCCTGAAAGTAATGCTGTAAATGAACTAGGGAAGTTTTGGTATCTAAAATTTGAAAAAAGGAAGATAGCTCCAATACAGTATTTGGAAGTGTCACCATAATCCAAGGCATTCATACCTTTTGTCACTGTAGAAGACTTAAGCAAATCTTGGAAAATGTGAAATGGTATCAACCCCCTGAACAACTGTCATGTGTCTTTCTCATTCAGACCTGCATTTTCACTTATTCACCTGGACAGGGCCTCCCAAGCATTTCTTCTTCTATCACCCATGGCTCCTCTTCCTGCTCCAACTTGAAGATCACATCTGGTTTGGTGACTTGGCAGCCTATTATGAAAGACAACAAAGGACTTGGATATTAATGCTGGAGACAACCATCCAGACCTTGGGTTGAGTCCTGGGGACTTGAGGGGCTATGAAAGATGAGGATGGAGGAACTTCCACAGTGAGACAAAGTAATTAGCCTTTACCCTAAAGACAAGCACATACAATGAAATGAAGAAAGGGAAGGCTAGTTAAAGACATCTGGCAAGTTGAAGTCGTCACAGATTTCAAAGATAGAAAAGAATTCTGTGTAAAATTGCAAAGTTACCCTTACCCACTGTGACTAGGTTGCTATAGTTCTCCAGCATCACATCACGGTACAAGTCCCTCTGAGCAGGTTTCATTTGCTGCCATTCCTCCTGGGTGAGGTCCACAGCCACATCCTTAAATGTTACTGTTCCCTGTAAAAAGACAATTTGAAGTCATCAAAACTAAACACTGTGGTCAAAACATCTAAGAACCCATTTAGCTGATCAGATACCATATATCAGGCTTGCATATTTACGTAATTTTGTATTTATACTATACGGAAAAAATATACCGTAATAGAAATATCCTGTAGAAGTATGTTAATTACTGAATCAGCAAACTGATGAATTCATTATCTATTATTCAGGAAGCTGGAAATAGTGGTCATTGATTTATACTAGGCTGTGACAGAGATGACATAGACATGATTCATAGGTAACTGGCTCAGAACTGTCCAAGCAATTATGTAATCTAGTAAGAAAGAGGACTTGGAAATAGTGGGGAAGGAGGAGAAATAAAGCTGGAGGAAGGAGGAGAGGTATGAAAATTTGAACATGCAAAATTTGATATTTCTAGGACTTCCAGATGGAAATGTCCACTATGCAGCTGGAGGTATGAAGAAAGGAGATGAGAATTTGTTAGCCATCAACTGAAAATTGGGAGCTGAATCCATGGCAGAAGGATATGAGTGGTTGTAAAGAACATATATGGTAGATTGGTTCAAGATGGTGGAGTAGAAGGATGTGTGCTCACTCCCTCTTGCAAGAGCACCGGAATCACAACTAACTGCTGAAAATCATTGACAGGAAGACACTGGAACTCACCAAAAAAGATGCCCCACATCTAAAGACAAAGGAGAAGCTGCAATGAAATGGTAGGAGGGGTGCAATCACAATAAAATCAAATCCTATAACCACTGGGTGGGTGACTCACAATTACACCACCCACTGGAGTGAGGGTTCTGAGCCCCATGTCATGATTGCCAACCTGGGGGTCTGGCAACAGGAGGGGGAATTCCCAGAGAGGCAGACTTTGAAGGCTGGCAGGATTTGATTGCAGGAAATAGACAGGACTGGGGGAAACAGAGACTCCACTCCTGGAGAGCACACACAAACCAGTGTGCACATCAGGACGCAGGGGGAAGGATCAGTGACCCCATAGGAGAACCAGACCTACCTGCTAGTGTTGGAGGGTCTCCTGCAGAGGCAGGGGGTGGCTGTGGCTCACCACGGGGACAAGGACACTGGCAGCAGAAGTTCTGGGAAGTACTCCTTGGCAGGAGCCCTCCCGGAGTCCACCATTAGCCCCACCAAAGAACATGTAGCCTCCAGTGCTGGGTCACCTCAGGCCAAACAACCAACAGGGAGGGAACTCAGCCCTACCTATCAGCAGACAAGTGGATTAAAGTTTTACTGAGCTCTGCCCACCAGAGCAACACCATCTCTACCTACTACCAGTCTCTCCCATCAGGAAGCTTACACAAGCCTCTTATATAGACTCATCCACCAGAGGGCAGACAGCAGAAGCAAAAAGAACTACAATCCTGCAGCCTGTGGAACAAAAACCACATTCATGGAAAGATAGACAAAATGAAAAGGTAGAGGACTATGTACCAGATGAAGGAACAAGATAAAACACCAGAAAAACAACTAAATGAAGTGGAGATAGGCAATCTTCCATTAAAAAGAATTCAGAATAATGATAATGAAGATCATCCAAAACCTCAGAAAAGGAATGGAGGCAAAAATGGAGAAGATGCAAGAAATGTTTAACAAAGACCTAGAAGAATTAAAGAACCAAAAAACAGAGATGAACAATACAATAACTGAAAAGAAAAATACACTAGAAGAAATGAATAGCAGAATAACAGAGGCAGAAGAATGGATAAGTGAACTGGAAGAGAGAATGGTGGAATTCAGTGCCACAAAACAGAATAAAGAAAAAAGAATGAAATAGATTATTACTCAGCCATATAAAGGAACAAAATTGAGTTATCTGTAGTGAGGTGGATGGATCTAGAATCTGTCATACAGAGTGAAGTAAGTCAGAAAGAGAAAAACAAATACTGTATGCTAATGCATATATACGGAATTTTAAAGAGCAGTACTGATGAACCTAGTGGCAGGTCAGGAATAAAGATGCACACGTAGAGAATGGACTTGAGGGCATGGCAGAGAGGGAAAGCTGGGATGAAGTGTGAGAGTAGCATTGACATATATACACTACCAAATGTAAAACGGATGGCTAGAGGGAAGCAGCTGCATAGCACAAGGAGATCAGCTCAGTGCTTTGTGACGACCCAGAGGGATGGGATAGGGAGGGTGGAAGGGAGGCTTAAGAAGGTGGGGATATGGGGATATATGTATACATATAGCTGATTCACCTTGTTATACAGCAGAAACTAACACAACATTGTAAAGCATTTATACTCCAATGAAGATGTGAAGAAAAAAGAAAAAAATAATGAAAAGAAATGAAGACAGCCTAAGAGACCTCTGGGACAACATTAAATGCAAAAACATTCACATTAGAGGGGTCCCAGAAGGAAAAAAAAGAGAGAAAGGACCCAAGAATATATTTGAAGAGATTATAGACGAAAACATCCCTAACATGGGAAAGGAAATAGCCACCCAAGTCCAGGAAGTGCAGAGTCCCAGGCAGGATAAATGCAAGGAGAAACACACCAAGACACATAGTAATTAAGTTGACAAAAATTAAAGACAAAGAAAAATTATTAAAAGCAACAAGGGAAAAATGACAAATAACATACAAGGGAACTACCGTAAGGTTAACAGCTGATTTTTCAGCAGAAACTCTGCAAGCCAGAAGGCAGTGACATGATATATTAAAGGAGATAAAAGGGAAGAATCTATAACCAAGATTACTCTATCCAGCAAGGATCTCATTCAGATTCAATGGAGAAATCAAAAGCTTTACAGACAAGCAAAAGATAAGAGAATTCAGCACCACCAAACCAGCTCTACAACAAATGCTAAAGGAACTTCTCTAAGTGGAAATCACAAGAGAAGAAAAGGACATACAGGGCTTCCCTGGTGGCGCAGTGGTTGAGAGTCCGCCTGCCTATGCAGGGGACACAGGTTTGTGCCCCAGTCCGGGAAGATCCCACATGCTGTGGAGTGGCTAGGCCCGTGAGCCATGGCCACTGAGCCTGCATGTCCGGAACGTGTACTCCTCAATGGGAGAGGCCACAACAATGAGAGGCCCGCGTACGGCAAAAAAAAAAAAAAAAAAAAAAAAAAACCTACAAAAACAAACGCATAACAATTAAGGAAATGGTAATAGGAACAAAGATATCAATAATTACACTAAACGTAAATGAATTAAATGCTCCAACCAAAAGACATGGGCTTGCTGAATGGACACAAAAACAAGACCCATATATATGCTGTCTACAAGAGACCCACTTCAGACCTAGGGACACATAGAGACTGAAAGTGAGGGGATGGAAAAAGATATTCCATGCAAATGGAAACCAAAAGAAAGCTGGAGTAGCAATATTCATATCAGATACATAGACTTTAAAATAAAGGATGTTACAAGAGACAAGGAAGGACATTACATAATGATCAAGGGAGCAATCCAAGAAGAAGACATAACAATTATAAATATATATGCACCCAACATAGGAGCACCTAAATACATAAGGCAAATGCTAACAGCCATAAAAGAGGAAATCAACAGTGACACAATAATAGTGGGGGACTTTAACTCTCACTTACACCAATGGACAGACCATCCAGACAGAAAATTCATAAGGAAACAGAAGCTTTAAGTGACATAATAGACCAGATAGATTTAATTCATATTTATAGGACATTCCATTCAAAAGCTGCAGATTACACTTTCTTCTCAAGTGCACACGGAACATTCTACAGGATAGATCACATCTTAGGTCACAAATCAAGCCTCGGTATATTTAAGAAAATTGATATCACATCAAGCATCTTTTCTGACCACAACGCTATGAAATTAGAAATAAATTACAAGGAAAAAAGGAAAAAACACAAACACATGAAAGGTAAACAATACATTACTAAGTAACCAAGAGATCACTGAAGAAATCAAAGACGAAAACAACAAATACCTAGAGACAAAAGGACAACGCATACACGATGATCCAAAACTGATGGAATGCAGCAAAAGTAGTTCTAAGAGGGAAGTTTATAGCAATAGAATCCTACCTCAAGAAACAAAAAAAAATCTCAAATAAACAATCTAACTTTACACCTAAAAGAACTAGAGAAGAAGAACAAACAAAACCCAAACTTAGACGAAGGAAAGAAATCATAAAGATCAGAGCAGAAATAAATGAAATAGAAACAAAACAATAGCAAAGCTCAATAAAACGAAAAGCTGGTTCATTGAGAAGATAAACAAAATTGATAAACCTTTAGCCAAACTCATCAAGAAAAAGAAAGAGCAGACTCAAATCAATAGAGTTAGAAATGAAAAAGGAGAAGTTACAATGGACACCACAGAAATACAAAGCATCATAAGAGACTACGACAAGCAACTCTGTGCCAATAAAATGGACAACATGAGCAATGGACAAATTCTTAGAAAGGTGTTACCTTCAAAGACTGAACCAGGAAGAAATAGAAAATATGAACAGACCAATCACAAGTAATGGAATTGAAACTGTGATTAAAAATCTCCCAACAAACAAAAGTGCAGGATCAGATGGCTTCACAGGTGAATTCTATCAAACATTCAGAGAAGAGCTAACACCCATCCTTCTCAAACTCTTCCAAAAAATTGCAGAGGAACACTCCCAAACTCATTCTATGAGGCCACCATCACCCAGATACCAAAACTAGACAAAGATACTCCAAAAATGAAAATTAACAGACCAATATAACAGATGAAAATAGATGCAAAAATCCTCAACAAAATGATAGCAAACAGAATCCAACAGCACATTAAAAGGAAAATACACCATGATCAAGTGGGCTTTATCCCAGGGATGCAAGGATTCTTCAATATACACAAATCAATCAATGTGATACACCATATTAACAAACTGAAGAATAAAAACCATATGATCATTTCAACAGATGCAGAAAAAGTTTTTGACAAAATTCAACACCAATTTATGATAAAAACTGTCCAGAAAGTGGGCATAGAGGGAACC